TTTATTGTTTGTATATGTATTTATTGTATGTATTTGTTTCATGCTAATTAAATATTAGAAACAAATATTTTCTAAATAACATTTAACTAATATTTGCGAAACATTTCTTTTTATTTTGAAATATTTACCGTTAATTGACCAATGAAAATTCAGATCATATGTTCTAAAGTTTGTTCACACTTATTAAAAATAATATATTAATAACTTTTTGCGTGTTAGTGGTGTTAAATATAGACACAAAAAGTATTACGTACTAAGAAAACTTTTTATTATTTTATTTATTTCATGCTAATTAAATATTAGAAACAAATATTTTTTACAGAATGTTTAAATAACATTTGAAAAATATTTCTTTTTGCTCTGAAATATTTTCTATTTACTGATAAATGAAAACTCAGATCATAAGTTCTAAAGTTTATTCATATTTATTAAAAATATAATATTAGTAACTTCTTGGATGTTAGTGGTGTCATATATAGACACAAAAAGTATTACGTACTAGGAAAAACTATTTTTACTTTATTTCTTTCATGCTATTTAAATATTAGAAACAAATATTTTTGAAATAACATTTAAATAATATTTAAAAAATATTTCTTTTTGCTCTTAAATATTTGCTATTTATTGATCAATGAAAATTCATATAATATGTTCTAAAGTTTGTTCCCGCTTATTAAAATAATATATTAGTAATTTTTTGCGAGTTAGTGGTGTTATACAGGGTTGCTCATTAGTGCGTCAAAGTGCGATATCTCAGTAAATATGAAGTTTACAAGAAAATTCGTCCAACGAAAGTTTTTCACGTTTAAAAGGTCCACATTCTAAAATTACTTTCCAATATACAGGGTGCATCATAAACGTGTGGTAGTTACCAACTTTGGTTTTTTAAATAGAACTGCCCCTTTTTTCATTCATTTTCAGATTTGTCGTCAAAATTTAAGTTAAGTTTGTGTCAAACGTTTTACCTGAAAAATTTACGATTTCCGAGTTATTCGTATAAATGTGAAAGTTTTGACAGCTACTGGGTTCCACAGAAATTGATGCTGTACACTACCCGCTGCGAATTTTGGAAAACAGTTTTCAGCGATTCTAACAGAACATCATGATCTACG